AATAACCTAGTAAGTTTTCCTTAACTTTAATTTCCCATTGATATTTAAATTTAACATTTAATCTTTATCATTTCCAGATTTTAAATGATCCCAATTTCTTAGTCTCCTATCTCATATTTGGGGCTAATAATTTTTTTCTTTTCTTCCTTCTACTTCCTTCCTTTCCAGAAAAAGAAAAAGAAAAAAAAATAAACCATCAGCATTTGTACCACAAACCAATATACAAATTTAATTATTAGTATTTATACTTCTAAGTTTTACTTAACCTTTGTCTCAACTCATAACAATATCTTAGATTCAAATCTTAGTTATTTGTAAACATTCAAACTTTTAGCCAATCAGTGACCTGATGGTTAATTTTCCCTTAATATTTTAAATGTAATGGAATTACTGTGCTCAGCCGCCACACTGCATCAGCATCCTGGTTGCCATTGGGGGGCCGGGTGGGTGTGGCTGGCATGGGCGTGGCCTACTGGGTGGGCGTGGCCAGCTCCATGTCACTCACGTCAGGGGCACCTGTGCAGGCCTGGGCAGGAATGGGGTGCATCCGAGGGTGGGGAAGGATGGGTGGGACAGGGGGCGAGCACCAGGGCATGGTCCACTGGAGGAGCCTCACTGAGCCTCAGGCTGTGCATGGGGCCCCTAAACAGTGGCATGGACTGCCCAGCCCGGCCCTTGAGCTCCCATGGCATCAGAACCCCACAGCCCTGCCTAGCTTAGCTGCACTTCCCCGAGGGGGCGCCCAGCTGCACTTATCTCCTCCTCAATGCTGCTGCTGCTGTGCTCACTCTCCTTGGCCAGGTTGCTCATGGTGGGCGCAGAAGGACAAAGTGCATGGGTCAGAGGGAGGCCCATTCCCTCTCCATGCGAGGAAACCTGGCTTTGTAACTAAAGCATCCTCAGCAATAGGAGGAGAAGGCAAAAGGGCAACAGGGCTGCTGGTGACCAAGTGCTAAAGCAGGACTTCCCTCAGACCCTCCCTCCCTCACTCTTATTCCAATCTCCTTACTTACTTACTTCCTCCCTCCCTCCCTCCCTCCCTCCCCTTCTTTCCTGCCTCCCTCCTTTTCATTCCCATCTCCTTCCTTCCTTCCCTTACTTTCTTCCTGTTTCCCTCCCCTCCTTCCTTCCCTCCTTCTCTCTGTGCCCAGGAAGGACAGGGGGAGGGGGAGAGGTTGGCAGCACTTTTCTCAAAGAATAAGAGTTGGAAGAGACCTTTGAGGTCTTTAGTCCAAGCTCCTGCTCAAGCAGGGGACGTATACCATTCCAGACAATGGAATATCCAATCTCTACTAAAAGCCTCCAGTGATGGAGCATTCACAACTTCTGAAGGCAAGCCTTTTCACTGGTTAGTTGTTTTCACAAGTCCTTAGTTCTAGGCTGGTTTTCTTCTTGATTAGTTTCCATCTATTATTGCCTTCTGATGCTTTGGAAAATAGGTTGACCTGTTCTTCTCTGTGGCAGCCCATTAAATATTGGAACACTGCTATCATGTCACCACCCCTAGTCCTTTTCACTAAGCTAGACATACCCAATTCCCACAAACATTTGTCATATGTTTTAGCCTCCAGCCCCCTAACCATCTATGTTTACCATCCATTTAGACAGATGGTCCCCCTGCTTTGGTTTATAGAACACTGGCCACAAGCAGAGCCTTCTCAGAGACAGCACCCCCATTATAGAACTTTCTCCCAAGGAAAATATGAACAGTGCATCCCTCATCCGTTTAGAGGCAACTCCAAACACACTGTTTCAGCCAGGCATATGTAAAACAACAACACATTTTATGGTCAAACAGCACTAAGTAAATTACTACTACTATTTTTCTTTCTTAAAATACACACTTTTAATATTGTTTTAAGCAGTGCTAGTGATGCTTTACAATAGCTGTCTTTGAGAGTTTTCTTGTAAACCACCCTGGATTTCTCAGAAACTTTTAATTTCAAATTA